TCTAAAGTGCGTTAGAAATGTTTTTAAATAAGTAACACTCATTGTTCTATAATTAGAATTAAAAAAATTAACAATTTAAAGAAAAAAAAAAAGAAAAAAAAATGTAAGGTCGGGTGGGATCGAACCCGCGTCAAAAAAAGTATGCAGCGGTTTATGAGTCAGACGCCATAACCGCTGCGCCACCGATGTTGTTGAAAGCCCTTCAAACATTTAAGTATATAAAGAACGTACCATAAAACTAATTAATTACGTTAATTGCATTGTTGTAATCCATAGATCAATTGTGTGAACGTGAATCCTCTTAAAATTACTTAATGCATCTTTTATGGGAAAATGGCATAAAAATTCAAAGCAGAAGTTAGTTTTTCGCGCGAAAAAATCGGTTTTTGATTTTTTTAACTACGGCGCACCTCACCGAAAAATCTGAAAAAATTAGAGAATAATAGTTGTACTAATACCTAACTACCACATTAATATAAAAGTAGTGCTCCGACATCTTCACTAAAAAATCGCATTTTTTCGGATTTTTTTTCGGTTTTTGATTTTTCACGACTACAGTTTGCGATCAAAAAATCTGAAAAAATTCTGTAAGATGCGCTATCTGGACCTCAATGTTTTAGAATTTTTTCAGAATTTTTGTACGAAATTAAATAGGCAAAAAGGGCCAAATACCGGAATTTCGTTTTTTCCCTTTTACTACCCCCACGGATGAGATAGGGGGTTGAAACTTGGTGTGAGGTGTTTTTTTGGGATATGCTACCGACTGACGAGTTGGGTCTCAAATTCGACTCAAGGGCACATTTGACCACCTTATCCGGCTATACCCTTTAATTTGAAATTAATGAATTTTAAATGTCTTTTGTTGAATTATTAGTAAATTATTATTATCAAAGCTGAATCTAACAATGAGAAACAGTGTTTATTGTTCGCTTAAGAACTTTACTGGCGCCATCAGGTATAAGGGCCTGAGACTGTTACTGAAAACCATGGTAATAAACACAGAGTAAGCAGTTGCTTCATTTGTCATGTAGAATAGAAAGTGTTCAGACGTTCTTTCAAACCACAAAGAGATATAAGGGTGTCTCATAACTAGTGTAGGTGTCTGAAACAGGGGGTAGCTGACATGATTCTGATTAAGGTTTCTCTTTGCAGAATTGGGGTTTGAAGCTTCGTATAGTAGTTTAAAAGAAATTAAAAAGAGTACTATTATTTTTTACTTATCTCCAATGTCTTCTAACTAAGAATCTGATATTAACGTTTGATTTATGGAACACGTCAAAATGATGGATCTTATTTTAATTAAATTACGAAAATCATTAAGATGCTGTTAAAAAATAGAAATTGACGAATAGTCGAAGCAGGCCATGTGCATTTTGTCAGTTCCCCTTCTTAAGGGAAGTTTCTCCAGGCCCAAGTGTCCTACACAACGATCATACCAACAGGGGTGTCCTCGAAGACATTCTTGTATTGTCTTTTGCCAGGATACAATTAAAACCTTTGAATATTTTTCAAACGCAACCAACCTATTTTACTAGGTGAACCTCACAGTCTTACAATGCGTTTATCAAAATAACTTCTGTTCCGTACGACGGTACATATGGGTGAGGATTTCGAAAGTTTATTTATGATCGGTCCATTAGGCAGCCGTTCTTGAGTTAAAATATTTCGGGTTTTTCCAATTATTAATTTTACTACATGTCTTGCCATAAATTTAGAGTTAATTTTCGCTTCATCCTCAACGGCCACTTTTCGATCATAAACACGGTTTTTTCCGAAGGGTACTTTAGAAACGGTCATGCATGGACCTAACGGTAACTTATAGTCGCCAAATGTACCTAGAAGAAAATCGCGGCATTGCCGGACGTTCGGAGTCTTCCCGCCAACTATCCGGATTTCCCACCCTGCCTAGACGAAGACGCTCTAAGGGAGCTATGAAGGGTGGGCCCAATCCCAAAGGGCACGCTGATTGGAATTTCATAAAAAAGGCGAAAAACCAATCAGCGTACGACTTCTGACTCCATCGTCAACGTAGGGGTCAAGACGACAGCGAGTCGTCAGATTCACTAACGCATTATTGAGAGAAACATCTCACCTATTCGCTCTTCATTCATTGCGAACATTACAAACCTCCATCAGTCGGGAGGACTTATTATTATTTATTTATTTTTGTAATTTACGTATTATTTATTTATTTTTGTAATTTAGTCTCAATTTTAACATAAGTGATCATTAATTTATTTGCTACCACGATCTCCAAATGGGAACTTGAATATACAGTGGGTCCAAAAAGTATTTTATTTGTACACCTAGTTTTTTTGCGTGGGTCCAAAAAGTATTTGTACACCTAGTTTTTTTGCAATAACTTTATTTACATAAGTAACAAATACAAAAAAAATTGCTTCCACTAATAGCCTCCTACAAACAAAAATAATATGTACATTAAAAATTTTTAATAATATGTTATAAAAGAATAATACACTAATATAAAAATTTAAGGGCAAAAAAAGTATTTGTACACTTATAATTCTATTGCTAAACTTTGAAAGAATGCACATACCCTCGTGACATTGATCAAAATGTAAACATTTGTTTATTTACACATTGGTTTCGACCTTCTCACGACGTTAGTACGTCTGTGAACAACGTAGAGAAACCATGGCAAGCAAGAAAAGTGAAATATCTGTATCGCTGCGAGATCGTGTGATTTTTCTTCGGAAAGGTGGGGAAAGTTACCGAAAAATTGGCAAAGCTCTAAATTTAAACTTCACAACAGTGCAATATATTGTTAAGAAGTATGAAGAAACGGGAAGTACGGACAATAGGCCACGATCAGGTCGGCCGAAAATACTTACAGATAGAGAACGTCGGAGTGTTATTAAAGAAGTTACAAAATTTCCATTTATTAGTGCTCGAACTTTATGCAATGATGTCGCATCAACATCAGGAAAGAATGTTTGTCCTCAAACTATTCGAAACATTTTGCACTCCGCTGAAATATATGGTAGAGCTGCTAGAAAAAAGCCCTTTATAAATAATGTGAATAGGGAGAAACGGTTAGGATTCGCTAAAACGTACCTACAAAAACCAATTGAATTTTGGAAAAGCGTTATATTCTCAGACGAATGTAAATTTAACATTTTTGGCTTAGATGGGAAGAAATTTGTGTGGCGAAAACCCAATACCGAACTTCAGCAAAGGAACATCCACACAACCGTTAAGCACGGCGGAGGAAATGTGATGTTATGGGGCTGCATGGGGTACAATGGTGTTGGAAACATTGCGTTTATCGAGGAGTCAATGAATGCCGAAAAATATATCGACATATTGCGTAATAATTTACCCGAAAGTGCAAAGAAATTGGGTCTGAATAGGACTTACTACTTTCAGCAAGACAATGACCCAAAGCACACAGCTAAAAAAACGAAGGAATGGTTATTATACAATGTCCCAAAACAACTGATTACACCACCCCAGTCTCCCGACATTAACCCCATAGAAAATTTATGGCACCTATTATTAGGTGCTGAATGCCGAAAAATATATCGACATATTGCGTAATAATTTACCCGAAAGTGCAAAGAAATTGGGTCTGAATAGGACTTACTACTTTCAGCAAGACAATGACCCAAAGCACACAGCTAAAAAAACGAAGGAATGGTTATTATACAATGTCCCAAAACAACTGATTACACCACCCCAGTCTCCCGACATTAACCCCATAGAAAATTTATGGCACCTATTAAATATTGAAATAAGAAAAAGAAAGATATCAAATAAAACAGATTTACAACGAATTATTTTACAAGAGTGGCCAAAAATATCTAAAGAAATTACAAAAAAATTGGTCGAATCTATGCCAAAAAGGCTAGAAGCCATTATAAATGCAAAAGGAATGCATACAAAATATTAATTAGGATCTAAACCATTAATAATTTGAAATTTTCTACTGAAGCCGTAAGTGTACAAATACTTTTTTGGCCCTCAAATTTTTATATTTATTGTATTATTCTTTTATAACATATTATTAAAAGTTTTTAATGTACATATTATTTTTGTTTATAGGAGGCTATTAATGGAAGCAATTTTTTTTGTATTTGTTACTTATGTAAATAAAGTTATTGCAAAAAAACTAGGTGTACAAATACTTTTTGGACCCACTGTATATGTATTTTTATCATTTACAATAGGTAAATATTGGTATTACCAATATAATATCAACACTTAACTATATAAAAATGTACAACAATACGTTAAAAGTAAAGAAGAAATTTGACAGTTAATGGGTTAAATATCCGTAAACCTAGGATTAAAATGTTTGTTAACCGTATAAATTTCACGCTTAAATAAAATTTTATTGCTTTCAGATGTGGATGTATTCGCTGGGAAGGGCATTATTGGACACGACCCCGAGAGTCGCAGCACTGACAGGAACGGTTTCCGTTTCACCCTCGTCTGCGCTTCAGTCCGTTCTAGCAGCCATGACGGAACCCGATCCTCGAAGACGAGCTTCCTTGATGAATCTTCTAGACGTAAGTCTGTAAATCTAGCAGAAATTCTTTCCTGTTCTTCCTTTTTTATCCGGCTCAACTCACGAGATTTTTCATGAAGATCGGTTAGTTGGTTCCTCGTCGCTATCAGTGTACAGAAACAGATGTTTAAAAAGCGGAAGGAAAGGATAAAACATTTTCTTCATGGCGAACACTTGTGTACCTGAGACCCTTTAGATTCATGTTGTTATAAAATGTTGAAGTTGGTATCTGTTTGAAATGTGAATAAGAAATAATGGAGAAATTTCGTGCATTTAAACAAGAGTTGTTTTTGTAATGAACACCTTGCAGTCAATAAAAGATTGTAAGTTTATAAGCCAATATAAGCGTATTAATTATTCTATTTCAAGTGTGTACGATATTATTTTAGAAGTACAAAAATTCCGATAATAGAATTTGCAAGAAAGATTAAGTATTTGTATCATAGTTTCTTGCAAATAATGATAAAGTTGGAGAATTCGGATTGTAATGTCTATTATAATTAGTAAAATCAATGGCTTCATGTAGATGATAGATTTATAATTTACACTAATATTTATTCTAGTGCCAAATTTCCTTATCTTAGCAATTTCATCACACGTATATTTTTTGATTTTGCACATTTTCTTGCGGTAAATTTAATTTAACACATTATCTTTACAAATGTCAAACGCAATATCTTTTTGGGATTTGATGACTTAAGTATTGTGCACCATTAACCCTTTAAACTGTTAATAATAAAACTAATTTACAGAGAACAAATTGTTCGTTTAAATAACGTATGGTACTCAATAGAATGTATAGCAAGATTTACATTAAAGTAATTCTTAGACAACTATGTTTGTCTAATTTAAATTTGCCAATAAATAATAAATATAATAGTAGGAATATTCCATAAAAATAGTAATGATAGTCATTAATAAAAATGATTAATGAATAATTTTATATATTAATAAAAACAATAATAATAATTATTGATATTATTTATATGATATTTATTTAAAGAAATTAAATATTAAGTTTGTAGGATTTTGTCTTTTACGCGTAATCTACTCTGATACGAAGTTTTTGAAGGTAAACTTTATATTAATACTTAATTAACCATTTGTTTATTAAATTTATTTAATAACAAATAAATATAATATTAATTTGACTGTTTTATAAAGTCTATGATAGTTCTTTTGTTGAAAATATGAAAGTACAAACTTATTTAAACTATGCAATGCCTACGAACAATTGATTAACTTTTTGGGGCACGGTGGGATCACAAGTGCCCCGCCTTTTTGATGTATTTCACGGTATGGTGGGACATTTTTAGTCCTTACTGCAAGAAATCTTACAGCTGCATGTGCATAGGTTTATATTTCACCTTATTTACGTAAAGCAGTTGGTAATGTTTTCAAATAATGTTACAAATGTGTTCATTGTGTTGGCAACATTCAACATGCAATTACCGGCTGAGCAATTGTTATAATCGGAAGGTTTATTGCACTCACATTTTTTTCTTAGTTTCATGTTAAAAATCGCAGCGGTAAGTTAATTTCTATAAAAATTAGTTCTTCATAAGCGAGTAACGATTTTTATAATATAAATCAATGGTTAAATTTGTTTGCAAATGATGAAAGTATAGTGGGATTTCATTTGTCCCACCATACAACTTGTGGAGTAATACAAAAAACAATTTTTCTTTATTGTTTATGTTGTATATTCTTAAAAATTTAATTAACTGTTACTATTTTGTTATATTTTTACATAATGTTATACCTTTATTAATAAAAATATACCAATTTTGTTTCATTTAAAACCCGATAAAATTCCTGTGCAACATGGGTCTATTTTTGATCTGAAATCCTGTGCCGCAAAGAGTTAAAATTGCAATAATTTATTTGCAGAATTAATAATTGTCAAACTGAATTCGTACAGCTTGACAAAAATTACTTACACTTAATAGTAGATAAATTGAAGCGAGAACTATATTACATCTTCAATGTCTTATTTTTTTATTTCAGATGCTTAGTACGGTTCAGATTTAATATGAATTTCGAATAACTATACATTACATTTTTATAATGCAGTGTGTTTTCTTATGTAATTAATAGGTATTTTCACAAAGTGCCATTTGCTTTTGAAATATTTGAACGCGTCTTTTTATAGAACACTTTTTTCAATCTACACATGAACCTGTTAGTACAGTGTTCATTCCATATAAGCAAAAATGTCCTTTCCGATATA